GTAGTAGACAATTGTCAATTTGTATAGGCTTATTTTTGGTCTTATAATTTACTCGGTTATCAGAGCAATTCTTCCGTTTATAATGTTTATATACGTGGTTATTCAGTGAAACGTCTTCTTTTCAACGGTGTATTCGGATTTTATTTTCGTTCATTTTTAAGAGGACGCTACACCCTCATGTGTTGTCTCCGTCTTACAAGCACGTAACATTGCAAAAACTGTTTCGTGCGGGAAAGAACCGAGAATGCTACAGCCATAACTAAGAAACAAAATTCTCACCACAGATAAAAGGGAATTTCGACTGTGCAACGTTGTTTTTATTTTTTTGATATTAGAACTGAAAAAAAAGTTATTCGATTTTGAAAAACGCAAAAATAATGAATTTTGAAACATTAAGAACTTTTTTTGTATTTGTGATATCGAAAAATTGAAAACAACGTTGCACAGTAAATGTTCTCCTTATTATATGTTAAAAATTTTGTTCCTTAGTTATAACTGTAGCCTTCTCGGTTCTTTCCCGCGCGAAACAGTTTTTGCAATGTTACGCACTTGTAAGACGGAGACAACACATGCGGGTGTAGCGTCCTCTTAACAAAGTAATGGTTATTTTTACCCAGAAAACTGTCGATAACGGCGACCACGACAATCATTGTATACATAAATATATTAATATATTATATTTATATATTATTCTTATAATATACAGTTGTAATCTTGTAAATGTAAAGTTATAGACGTTATAGTATAGTTTTATTTCAAATACTAAATAATAATTATTGATTATAAAGTTGTATTAACCATAAMTGTTTCGTGTAAGTTATTTTTGAACACAAATATGTGCGCTTGCCCACATATTATATTTTATTTTTATAGATTCATTAATAGACTGTTAAATTAATTAATTTTTCATGCAACCCGTAACTAATCATTTAAATACTGGACACTACAGGGCCGTATTAGCACATGGATAATAAAGCACTGAACCTAGGCCTACGATAGTGTTAATCCGGGCCTGCTTATACCTGGTTTAATGTTCAAAATGTTTCAATTCTTTTTATGTTGTTTATAGACATTTGAAATTTGAAAGTTTTTTATTCTATAAATGTCAATACAAAAGCTTGAAAATTAAATACGAGATTCCCCATACGTTTTATATAATAGTAGTTGGAAAATATTAAAAATACCTAGTCAAGTTTTTTTTTTAAATAATCGTTTAAGGTTCAAATTCTAAGGAAATTTATTTAATTGAAAATTTACAAATTATTTAGATGTCAGAAACTTATAAAACTAAGGATGGAAATTTAAAACAAGGTTTCACGTAAGTAGATATAGGTGATATCATATGATCAGGTGATAAGCAACTACTTAACAATATTTTAGAGGCTAATTTAGTGAATAATTTGAGTTGATGCTAAGAATATGAAAGGTTATATGAGACAAAAAAAACAAAATGGATGAAAAGGGACTTTAAAATTAATTTGGGATAACCAATTTGGAGGATCAATTTGGTTAGTTATTTGTCCACGAATAAATTTTATATTTTATATTCTTCATTGTTCAGCGACAGTGGGAACTGGGCAGGTCAAGTACTAGTCATATTGGTATAATTGTGAGCTAAATTAGGAATGCCTAAAACAAAACAAGCAAATCCCAAAAATCCTTGTTGAACTTGTTCAAATTAACCAGAATTAGAATCAGTGTAGGGATTCCAGATTACTGATCCGTATTCTAAAATAAGACTAAGTAAAGCACAATATAAAGATTTTAGCAATTTAGCAAATTTGAAGTCTTTTGATGGAAGCATTATGAACTTCAAATTCTTTACTAGAAATCAATGAATTGTGACGACTTGGACTAAGGGTACTATAGATAGTTTAAAACCAAAAATAATCATGTACAATTTTTGKACCTGAGAATAAATTGAGATATAGTAGTCGTAAAGAGTAGTAGTAAGAGAATGAGTGAATGTCATGAACCGACATTTGAAGTATTGACTTTAAGTTCTATTTTAAAACACCAACTATCAAAACAATAATCATTAATAGAGCTTCCTTTGTATAATTTCGGGAACTTTATTAAAATTATTTACTTACATGCATGGTAAGTGAAATTAGATTAATATTTTATATATTTATTAATAAATTAACAGATTAATTTTTTTAATTATTTAACTGATATAAATTGTGTACAATTCCACACTTTTTACTGTTTTATTATTTTTAGAATAATATTACAACTCAAACATTTGAACATTTCATAATTTTAATTTTCACAATTTTCTCTTACAATACCAATGAAAAAATATTTTGTATATTTGTAAGGAACCTATTATTAATTATTATTAAAAAGTTTACCTTACAAAATAAACATACAATATGGTACAATACAAATGCATAATATATTATTAATATTTATTTTGCTTAACGTAAAAACGGTTTAATGAGTACCTATAAATTAGCATATGTTCAATCAAATAAATTGATTATGCTGTCCACAATATCTTCAGGTTGAGAAGAAACTGTGTTTTTGACATCAATATTTTCATAATATGCACCACTAGTTCCACCAAGTTCCTTTCCTAATATTCTATTGCTAGGAAGTACATTTGATAAATGCAAATGATCTTCTAAAAATGATATTACATCAGATGCTGAACGTAATTGATTAAAAGTTTTTCTTGCAGTTTTAGTAAGTAAACGTTCACACATAAATACTAAATGATGATGAAACCACAAGAAATTAGTATGTTTGATATTTAACCAATCTTGAACAGCTGAGAGTGGAGTATTTTGATAGCCAGCAAACAAACCAGGGTTGTGTAATATGCCTCTTGCACTCATCATTCCTAAAATATACAAACAAATACATAATATTACATATCAGACAATAAGTAAATTATTTAAATTATTTTATTACCTCTGCAACCAGTATATTCTTGCATTGTGATAGCATCTGATAAACTCTTAATATCACCATTTAAAATTACCGGAACATTTACAGATTCGTTAATTAGTTTCAAGCATTCTTGATCAATAGGTTCGTTCTTTTGGAGAGCCGTTCGTCCATGAACCGTGATAAAAGACACTCCAGTAGCTTCAATTTGTTGACAAAGATCTACACTCTTTCTAAAAAAAAATAGTATTAAAAATATATTGACTTTATAAGGTGTATTATTATTTATTATAATGGTAATTATAATATGAATAATCTATAGTTTATAAGACAATACACATTTAATTAATCTAGTCATATTTATTCTAGTGTTTATTCTAAATATCACATATTTTCCTAGCATTAAAATGAATATCCAAAGAAGTATCAATGTGAAACAAAAATCATTAAAAGCATTTCATCTTAACGTCCCCTCTTATTTTTGTACTTATCTTTATAATTATTTTATTAACAGTATTGAAGAATACATTTTGATCAGAGGTATTTTTATGTTGGTTAAATATCCAAGTAATTGAAGTGAGTCATTAAAATGAGTACCTACATAATAGTTATAATTAGAAGGTGGGTAAGTAACTGGGGATAAGTTAATTATTGCCATTATTTAAATCATTGTGTTACCTTGAAAAAAATGCYAAACATAGTTTATATTACTAAAATAAAGATTTTTGTTTCATTATTTATTATATTATTAGCTGTAAGAAACTGAATAGTCATAGAGA